AGGACTAGTCAGAGATAAATCAAATAGACAAAATGCCCCCTGACTTCAGTGGAACCAAGATTTAGCCAATAGTTTATAAACATTCTTGGGTCCTCTAAAGTCCTCTATAGAAATGCAGATGTGTAGATATATGTTAAATTCAAGGTCTGTGTTTGTGAGGGCCCCAAAACATATTTGCAGTAGCTTTACAACAGCAGTTAACTAACAAACTCTGTTCCCAGCACTCCGTTGACTTATGCTGAGGCACAATGAAAGATACTTTGGCTCGTCAACGTGCTATATAAGTTAAATTTGTTGAACAAAAAAAAGCCACGATAATTTCAGCTCTATTCAAAACAGCAAAATCATTGTTTGCCAGATGGAAGACAAAATTATTAGGAGAAAATGTAATTTCAGTCTTAAAATAGTAATACAAACAATGGGGAGTAAAGCAAATGAAACTGGGGGGTGGGGAAATGCGTCCTCATAGGATTGTAATGCCTTCAAGCTCTCTCATAAATAATGACAAAGAATGTGCTGCAAATGTAAAGCAGAAGTTTTCATTCAGGTGGATTATACAAGTTTAAATACAGTAAACAAGCTTGAGATAATATGTCTGCAAATAGTCGTCAAACCTACTTTTTTTTTTAGGGCTGTCATAAAGTTAAATAAACATGGTATTCAGGACTCTGAAGGTCAACAGGAAAAAAATATATCAGTTGTCAGTTTTTCTACCTTTGTAGGTTTCTGATGGAGCTACGAGAATAAATTGCTTGGAGAACTGAATCAAAATTAGCAGTTTGGTCAGCCAACAGTAAAATTGCTGCACCTTTGGGAACCACCTCAGAATGCAGGATGCTCCACCACCGGGCAGCAGGGGAAAGAGGAATAGCCCAGTAACATAGTACAGGCACCCTATAACGCCCACCGTCAGCAGCAGTGCTCTCAAATTGCTTTAGCAACTGTTTTCCCCTAGACTTTTCCCTATTCCAAGCAACAGAAACCATTTCTCTTTGTTCCTCTGTTGCAGAATCATGCACAGCTGTCCTCTTCTCTCCCTCATCTTCTCATTGAGAGCTGGCTGCTTTTATTTTTGCTGCAAGTTTTCCCACCACAACATAATGGAGTTCCTAAAAATGAATTATTTTCATGACCAGAAAACCTATTATGGAATTTTAAACATTCGATAGGAAATGTTAAACCAAAATGAAGAGTTTTGTTTTCATGTTCTGTTTTAGTTCAATTTTCCAGGGGTGGGAGGGTTTGGTTGGTTCCCCTTTACTCTTTTCCCCATTTTTCTTTTCCTTACTGGAAAAAAATGAAGGATATGAGAAAGTGAGCGAAGGTATTTTTATCTGTATGGCAGGGGCAGATGGGGATATATGCACATGGATGTGTGCATACCTTTTTTTCTGTAATAGAAAAAATGAGGGAAGTACTAAAATGATTTTTAAAAATTGAGTGATACTTTCACTCACTTAAAAAATTATTTTGTTTTAATTTTTTTTCCTTTTAGTCCAAGTTACTCTTTTAAAATAGTCATAGAAATGTATTAGCTCAGTCTTGTAGTGATTTTTTTTCTTTTTTTGTAATTAACGCTTATCTTTTTTAACTGGGTGTTTCACACACACACACACACTAGGTTTTTTTAACCACTTATTTATTAGCAAAAGAAAACCCTAGAGGTTGTTTTTAATATTACGTGAATGTTTTGTATGGATCCAGAGTCATGTGGGTATGAAAATAACATTTTTCTGGTCTCATAAGACCATACACTGATTTCTAGTTATCAAGCTGACTTTATATCAGTTGAGGGGGAGAGGATAAATGCTTTGTTGGATGGTTGTTGGGGCTCAATAGATTAAACAGTTGCTCTTCATGAAATTGCATCTGTAATATGGCCAATTCTCAATACCATCTTGCAGCATTTTTCCTTCTTACATTTTTTCCACAGTAGTCATGAAATTCTTCCTTAATCTATCTTCCTTCTAGTCTTTTTTTTTTTAAACCCAAACTCTCATGATTAACCAGAGACCAGATTTCAGAGGCAAAATATAATTGAGATATGTAGTTGTTATTTAAATAGAATCAAGCCTTTGCATAGATTGTCTAAATCATTTATGGTATTTAGTGACAAATTTAAAGACTTAGTCTATTAAGTTTTACATTTGTCCAAATGGGTTAAATTGTGTATTTCTACCTGTTCTGCCTTGATTAGGATTTCAGAGCCCTGTTCCACCACTACTGTTTTACTACTGCCTGTCTAATATGTCACTTCCTCACATTTATGTGCAGTAAATTAGAGTTAGTTTTACTGGTTTTTTTTCCTCCTGATTTTGGGGAATTAGATCAAGTGCCTGTTGAGACAAAAGTGTTTCTCTTTGAAGACCCCAGCCCAGTGTGAGCAAAGCATAAAAAATTGACGCCTAGCGCGCAACTTCTACCAAATCCATGCGCAAAGCATAACCTTTGTGTCAATGATGATCTTAATTTTGAAGATACGTGTTCAGACTGTTCAAATGTTGACTGTAACAGATTGGTTTAATAATTCGAGAATGCATTCTTTGTTTCCAGCCATATGTAACAGCATCCAAAATCCGGTCACAAAAGAAATGCTGTTTGAGATCACTGAAAGGTGTACAGCAACTTCACAAGGACAGACACGTAACCATCACCTGGATCCTGACACTGAACTCATGCCACCACCTCCTCCCAAAAAACCACGCACCGTAACCTAACGCCACAGGCTCAGCATATGGCATATTTACAGTTCTGCAGAAGGTGAAATGAAAGTGTGAGAATTAAAAACACTTGCAAAAAAAAGTAATTAAAAGCATCCTGTAAATACTAAGATGCATCTTTTTCAAATGCCACATCATGAACTTTGTTTTCTAACTGGTAAATTCAACCTTACTTTGTGGGATTTGAAGATTGAAATATCCAAAGGTTTAGACAAGAACAGTACAGAATCAATGAAAAGCTGTCTTGTTTCTATACGGATATATTTCACCTTTAATTTATAATGTCAGCAATCTGGAACCGAGAACATTGGAACACTGTAAGTTTTCAAAGCTGTATTTCAAAGATAGTGGTGTTTTTCTTTTTTATTTAATTGGTTAGGATTTATCATCTTTAGTATAATTTATCATAGTTTTCCTACATTTCTGAGACTCATGTTTAAGAGCAAACAGCAATGTTGTTTGTGCACTGTATTGGTTTAAAAAAAACCTTATTAGGGTTCACAAATTTTAAAATTAGTTGGGCTTCTTTGTTGTTGAAATATTAAAGTGAGTCTTTATTGTTGTAAACAGCATCCTTCTGAAAGGAAAAGTGCTGGGTGTCTTTTTTCCTGTTTGAACTAACACACCTCATATGGTGGGCTGATTTTAGCTTTGCCTTTTGCCTTTTAAGTTTATCTGTAGATAAGGAACACTCACCAAATCCTTACTATTAAGGTGTCTGTTGTGAGACAATTTCTAGTTCAGGGCTTAGTTCTCCATTGTAAAGAATATTTAAAAGTACACCTCACTGTGATATCCAAGAGTAATAACTAGTACTAATGATGTTGTCTTAGATTCAGCACAAAATGGCAGAAGAAATGCCAGACAACTCCTCTGACAGAGAGGTAATGCCAGTCGAATTGAGCCGTATCACAGGGGAAAGGGTCTTTTGTTAGAAAAATGCCAGGGCAAAGGCAAAGCATTTATTGGTGGAAATGAACATCCTGGAATGAGGGCATTTATTTTCAAAGCTGGAGAAAGCTGTCCTATGACGATATTTAATCCACCAACTTTATATCTTATACCAAATGCTGAAGCAAATATCCTGATGACTCTTGCTAAAGTATGTTGTCAGTTGTTCAGACTCGTTAGTATTGAAAAGCTGCATTCTATTTGACTTATGAAGTAATTGTCCTGAATTTAAACTAATTAGAAACAACTTTAATGATAAAAATGCAGTTTTGAAAAGTTTACTGTACCATTTATAAGCTGGTATTTGGCTGTTTATATATAGCTTACTTATTGATATGTAAGTATGGGTCATCCATGCATTCAGCAATTTGATTAGCTAACATGATTTCATTTGGTATAATATTAACCAAAAACATGTTTATATTTAAATGAGTTTTAACGTTTGTAAACAAAGTTAACTCCTGCAATATTTTTTTCTATATGGAAACTTTAGGGCTATGCTTTGTGGAGGCTTCTCCAATTGTTTCAACATGTTGTATAAGTATACGCTGTATCATTTACATGGTAATCCTAGCATCTCTTTCCTGGGATAGTCCATATATGTTGTAGGGAATGAAAGGAGTTAAATAAGTTACTTTTTTGCTACATTAAAACTTGAGAGGAAAAAGTGTGTTCATTAACACTCATGTTTCAGTCGTACACACTTTCTGCTCATTATCTATATTAAAGATACAGTATTGCCTATGCAAGGTTGCAAAATTGTCTCCTAAAATCAGCCTTATAAATTTGATATGAAAATCTATGCAACCTCTACATTCTGCATTGAAACACACAGGAAATGATTTTTTTCACATAGTATATTTTTTCCAGACAACACTCTTTTCAGTGAGATAAATTATAACAAACTTTTTGTCAACAGTCTTTTGTTTAAAGATTGTTTAAACAGTGCTGTTTAATGGTTGCGACCTTTTAAATACGTTATATTTAAAAAGAGCGTCTCATTGTTTTAAGTACTTATCCAGCTTATGGCCTTTGTACTACTTACCACCACCACCCACTGCTGCTTGTATTTCAACTGAACTTTAATGTTTCTTTTTTTCTCTTTGCCTATAGCGCTGTGGCACTAGTCTATCTTCTACATGCATTTCACCTAGCTCAGTCTCACTTATAGCCCTTTGCTTATTTTGATATTGTTCTTCTTCCTCACTCAAGCTTCAAATGGATTTAATGAAGGAATTGTAAAGACAGTGAGACAGTGAAAGCTCATTTGATGATTGGGAGCTTCATGTTGTGATTTGACTTTGGAACTCTTCCTGTACTGCTTGCCCATTGCTGTTATAAGAGGCTATCTTGGCTTTTCTCCAGCTTTTTTCAGAAAAACTATCTACCAAGAAGGCATGGTAGAAAGAAGAGCCAGAGTTGGTTTTTTTTTAAGAAACTCCATTTGGACCCAGCTGGGTTTTAGGATTGTAAAATGTATGAGACCCCTTTCTCTGCTAATAAATATTCAGTAGTCAAAGATCAAGGTCAAGGGGACAAGGAAGGCTGTCATAAAAACTAAGAAAAAACAAACTGTCTACTCTGAAGCTATAGAGTATGAGTTCATCCTCCCCCTCCAACTCCAGTTTTGTCATTTGTTAAATAATGCCTATAGAAGTTATTGCATTTTGCTTTCAGTGAAGTTATAAAAAATGTCAGTACATTCCTCTGCAAACTATGTATTAAGTATTTTAATAAAGTCAGTGGTTTAAAATACCTTTGCTAATGGTCTTGTTCATGCTTCTCGTGTACAAACTTTCTTAGCGCTCATTCTCTTGCCAGCAGTGGGGCTTCTATTATACACATTTTTCACATAAGATAGTGCTTCACTGATTACAGAGTTCAGAAGTTCTGTGGACTAGAGATTCTGTGTATAAGCACTCCCAGAGAGTGAATACATGATGCCTCTCTTGGCTGTGATAGGGTTTGGTTTTCCTGTTGCTGGAGAGAGAACTGAAAAGGTGGGTGAAGCAGAACCATTGTTATAATCTTCTAACATTCTTTATTAACTTAGGCTTCCATCATACAAGAATGGACAAGTTCCCCAAATGAATTTTGGGGCTTAATATGCTCCAAATACTTTCATTCTCTTTTTCAGTGAAATTACCTATTTCTGTGTCTTCTGCTTAGTCCTGTTCATGGAATACACCAGGTGGTGCAGATTAGACAATGGAACCTTCTTATGGCAATGCTCATCAGTCTTCAGATGCCCTTTCAGTCCCTGCTCCCCTCCCAATGTTCAGAGATTAGAACTGTAAAGGCAGCGTGACACGCTGACACCACTATTCCTTCTAGTCACAGCAGCAGACTGATGTGAAACTCTCTAGATCCAACCAGACACAGACACGGTTCCTGCTCTTGAGAATTTAGATCCAGATTCACAAAGGTATTACGCACCTAACTCCCATTTAGATAAGATACCTAAATACCTTTGTAAATCTGAAATATACTATCTTAGGTTTGTGTAGTTTTGCGGGAGGTTAGTTTTGAGGATAAGCTATGTTAAAGGGGGCAAAAAAATTATTCTTAGATAGGTAGTAATTAAGTCTTCAGTTCCAGCCATGAGTTCCATAATGGAGCTGAAAAATAAGCTTCACTAATCCAGTGGTCTTTCCAGCATCAGGCCCCCATATGCAGATATACACTGGCAAGGGTCACATCCTTCAAGGCGCTGTATCTGTAGCACATTTACTCATGAGGGTGCATAAGTGGCATCAACACAAGCTGAAAGTCTTGTCCAAGAAGCTCTGGCTGTGAAATTCTCTGGACCCAGCACACCTAAGTTTAGGGATTTGCACCTACAGTGAGAGAGCCAGTTGTCCACCTTGGGATTCTGATCTTTGTTCCAAAGTCAGTTTCCAAGTCTTCAGTTCAGTTTTTTCCCCAGCTCATCATGCCTCGCACTGTGCTGGCCTGAGACAAGTAAAATTATTGAACTTTTGGATCTGTCTGCTTTCTTTCTAAAGAAGAATGTGAAAGGCAGATGGTTCCAGTTAGCAAAGCTAAGTCACATACAGGTCATTGAATCTGGATCTGAAAACATATGGGACATTTTTAATACCCTGTGCCCTGGGGTAGAGATCGGGGGGCATGCATTTTAATTAGAGTGGTTCTCGGGAACTGCTTTAATTAAAACACCCATAATGTCTTGTGTATTCAGCATCCCACATTTCAAAATGGTGGTGAGGGTGCTTGAACTAAAGCTTATTCAACAAGCTTTAATTGAAGCACTCCTGTTGCCATTTTGAAACACAGAGACACTGAGTACATGAGATGCTGCAGCACACTGGAGTGTTCTGAATCAAGCCTGCTCCTACATGATCTAATCAGAACACGTTGGAGCATACGTATAGGTGCCCATGGAGCCTAAATCAAAGACTAAGTTTCTGACTTGAGGGAAATTCCTTCCTAAGGTTCATCACCTGATTCCAAGCATATGTTGGTCAGAAAATCATTCTGAAATGGACAGTTGTTTCTGCATTGTCTGTTCACTTCACATGAAACCTTACTCTTGTAGCATAAATTCATTATAGGGATTTATGACTGAATTGATTACCAGGTCTGAGAGAGACTTTTTGCCTCAGGGAGGATCCTTTGTATCTGTCTTAGATGATCGGGGAAAGGAGGTCAGAAAGTTTGGTTTAGATATTCCTAGGCACTTCCCTCCCATTTCTAAAAATGTCTCGGGCACTCACAGTAAAGGTGTCTTGTTCTTTTCCATTTTATGTACTCCAGGCACTGAAGTTTTGCTATGAATTTGTGTCAGACCTATGATCCAAGGAAAAATCAGAATTCTATTAAGGAACGTACCTCTGAATATGATGCACATAAATCTTCATACCCTTTCAGATCTGAAACAAAGTTTGAGTTCAGTTGCTCACATTGATAGGCAGTGCACACACTGGGAAGCCCTGTTTGTTTTTGTGTAGGCAATGTAGACATGTTCCATCTTCTCATCAACATGGGAACCCTGCTCCTACCTAGAGGCTCAGAAAAAGGCTTGTTCTTCAGGTCTGAGATTTCTACATCCATCCCTTTTGCCTACTTTCAGGGATCATTTTCCCACTCCAGTTCCTGATACTGTGGCTCAGGTAGATTATCAAGATTTGGATTCCGATTCACAGATTCATTTAGATAGGTATTGATCCAACCAACAAAAAAGTAACAAGTTTGCAGCTTCTATCAATCACCTGAGAAGAAACTCCCCAGGCTGTCTACAGCATCTTGATTACTCCATCCAAAACAGAAACTAAATAACCCTGTTCCAATATTAGACAGATTATCAAAACCTGAAAACCAGTTTGGTTTTCTCGACCATCTTGTTAAGTTATATTGAAAAAAGTTTACAAAAATTGTAATACTTAAAGGATACAGGAGATTTTCATTCTTTCATGTGTAAACTATGCTTTTTCTGGCAGTGACAATCTATATCATATATATGAGAAAAGATTATCCATATTTTTAAAGTACTCCCTAACAAAAAAAAAAAGGAAATTAGCTAATTCTTCAGTAAAAGGTCAGACAGTGGTTAAACGTGCACTTAGACCTTCTGTTGATGCTCTAGGTTCAG